CTAAGGCTTCCTGCCAAAATGGAACTGTAGAGGAAAGTCTACTGAACAAGCCAGTACCTGCCGCATATCAGTACTGCCATCTGTTGAAGAGTTATGAAGGTGGAGGTATTACTTTTCATTCAACCCTCGTAGATACTGCAACAGACCCACCAAAGTAGTATCTAGGGAAGTGAAGAAAACTTCGAGTAAAGGAAGGCTCCCAAAGGCTATCGAAAGGGCTCTCGGTGCCAAATGTGGCACAGGGATACATTTTGCACACTTTCCTATAAGGATCTTGCTTCTTCAAAAGCTGTAGTAGCAGGATTAATTGTTTCTGAATTGTACATATATAATACTTTTCCCTGGTGTTTCTGTATCCTCTTTCACAGGGTGAGTATGTTGTCCTCAGATCCTCATTTGTGAAATATGAAATCAAACTAGGAACTGGTTACTTTCACAAGAGAAGGGAACCGTACGTTATTGCAAAACCAGCCTGCGTGTGCCAGAGGACATTGCCTTCATGATCAGAAATTAGTACTTTCTAGAGATAGGGATTTTAATTAGGATCACAGTCGGCTGGCAAACAATTCAATTCCCTCTTTCCATCTGCTGTGTATTATTGATCCTTGCACAAAATTTTCACAGCTGCTATATATTGGTAAGGGGGAAAAGATGCTTAGAGTGTTTGTAAACATATATTGTAACACAAAGTTTGGCAAAATTACTGTTTTTGAACCTCCTGAGCTGGTGACTTGGCGACATTAAAGTTCCACAAACTGACTTCATGAAACTATGGTTTAGCATCACATATAATTTGAAATCTGAGAGAATAATGAACAGGACCACCCCATTAATTAGGTCGAAGGAAGTAGCCACCTCAGCAACAGATGTTGGATGACAGGAAATGTTGGCAGGTGTTAGAGTTGTTTTCACTTCACGTTCTGTCCTTTGTGCTTCCCGTTCTGGCCAGCTGTCCCATCCCATTGTCAGCGTTGAGGTAAAACTTAAAAGTCCATCCGTCTAGCTTCTGTTCATTGGATGTGGGACAACATCTCATTTGCTTCAGACTGGCCATCATTTTATGATTTTTTTTAAAGAACAAGAGTTTGGAAATGCTCCTTTTGGATTTCAGCTCTCAAAGCACCTTAGCTAGAAGGTCTATTGGCTGTACTGGGGGACTTTGGGAGCACTATTCCAAAAAATAAACTTCTCCAAGATATTTATTTACTATATTTATATCCCACCTTTCTCAACCCTGAAGGGGACTCAAGGTGGCTTACAGCATAGGTAATATTGAAATTGAATCCAGACAAGACAGAGGTCCTACTGGTCAGTCGTAAGGCCGAACAGGGTATAGGGTTACAGCCAGTGTTAGACGGGGTTACACTCCCCCTGAAGACGCAAGTTTGCAGCTTGGGAGTGATCCTGGACTCATCGCTGAGCCTGGAACCCCAGGTCTCAGCGGTGGCCGGGAGAGCTTTTGCACAATTAAAACTTGTGCACCAGCTGCGCCCGTACCTTGGGAAGTCGGATCTGGCCACGGCGCTCTTGTTACATCCCGGTTAGATTACTGCAACGCACTCTACGTGGGGTTGCCTTTGAAGACTGTTCGGAAACTTCAATTAGTCCAGAGGGAGGCAGCCAGATTGCTCACCGGAGCGTCATACAGGGAGCACACCACCCCCCTGCTGTGTCAGCTCCACTGGCTGCCGATCCAGTTCCGAGCACAATTCAAAGTGCTGGTTTTGACCTACAAAACCCTACACGGTTCCGGCCCAGCGTATCTGTCCGAACGCATCTCCCTTTACGTCCCACCTCGGAATTTGGGATCGTCTGGGGAGGCCTTGCTCTCGGCCCCGCCTCTGTCACAAGTGAGATTGGCGGGGACGAGGAGCAGGGCCTTCTCAGTGGTGGCTCCTCACCTATGGAATTCACTCCCCGGGGAAATTAGATCAGCAACATCCCTCCTTTCCTTCAGAAAGAAATTAAAAACATGGATGTGGGACCAGGCGTTTGGGCAATCTGGCAGATGAATAAAGGACTGTGACGACGGATAGGAATGGACAATGTGGAACGAAATATGACTGAGTTGGCGAATTCTGTGTCTGAGATTGGCTATCGATTGTGTGATATATTGTTGTTTTATTGTTTTAATTGTTGACCATTTATTATTGTTTTTATATGTTATTGTATTATATGGGCACCAAGATGTGCCTTTTTGTAAGCCGCCCTGAGCCCCCCCTCGGGGGTTGAGAAGGGCGGGGTAGAAGTATACGAAATAAATAAATAATTTAATGCCTTAAAACCAATATACATCCAATATACAATTAAATAAACTTTTCAATTAAAATTTTAAAAACGAACTTACAATCATTAAATATTTAAACATTACTATTACTACTGTAAACCACTTTATCCGCCATCATAGACCAGGCCATTCCGATAATCATTACACATAATTCCAAGCCCATCTATTACACTGTTATTCACCAAAGGCTTGATCCCAAAGCCACATTTTCACTATCTTTCTGAAGGTCAGGAGGGAAGGGGCTGATCTAATATTGCTTGAGAGGGAGTTCCACAGCTGAGGGGCCACCACTGAGAAGGCTCTGTCTCTCGTTCTCACTAATCGTGCCCACGAAGGTGGTGGGACTGAGAGCAGGACCTCTCTGGATGATCTTAATCTTTGAGATGGCTCATAGAGGGAGATACGTTCAGACAGGTAAACTGGGACGCAACCATTTATGGCTTTATAGGCTAAAGCCAGCACTTTGAATTGTACTCAGTAGGAGAGTGGCAGCCAGCGGAGCTGACATAACAGTGGGGTTGTATGCTCCCTGTATGCCACTCCAGTGAGCTATCTAGCTGCCACCCGTCAGACCATTTGGAGCTTAAACAAGGATTTAACCCATTGCACCACCACAGCTCTCTTATTTCTCAGTTGATTTGAGAACAGTTATTAACACCCACTGGGGCTGGGAGAATGTGATTTGCTTGTGTTCACTCAGTGAGTTCACTGATAAGCATGGATTCAAACCCTGATCTCCAGAATCATAGTCCAGCCCTCAAACCACTCTGCTTTCCAGTTTACCTTTCACTTTATAAGCCCGATTATTGGGCCAATATTTGTGGGTTTTATAAGCAATATCATATTTTCCAGTGAGTCATGTCATCTCATGTTATGCCCTCAATTCAATAGCCTCAGCATAGTCATTTTGTACAAAGAGTTCAGGCTTAATTTGCTTCCATTTATCATTTTTGGCAACCGATTGCACCCTTAAAACTCTCTTTTGTAAAACTCTCCTGCATTCTTGGAATGGTTTAATTTCTTGTCAGCTGTCTTCATTGTCCAGCTATCACAATTATAAATACTATGGCATGGATGATTATGATGTTTTTGTTTCTCCTGATACGACTTTCTGTTTAAAGGTTTTGTCTGGTTCCTTCATATCTGCCCTTCCAAGTCTTGATTATCTTCTGATTTCTTGAGCACAGCCTCTATTTTAGCTAATGAGTGAGCCACAGTCTAGAAAACCTTTTATAATTTCAATGACTTCATGAAAACCAATGTTTGAGGCACCAGGGAGGACTACTTGTGTTTCTTGGTTTGATACAACCTCAACTGATTCTTACACATAACAAGACAGCAAACATAAATGAGAAAAGGAAATGAGAACGGGTGTAGACAAGATATGGCAGAGATAGGAAAGGCTATGTGAGCTGAAGTGCTACCTAGCTTCAGCTAAAGCTGACACATTGCCTAACCTACTTCTGTGTTACTTGTGCAAGATGCAATGGAGCAAGACGGAGGGGAACCACAACCCAATGTGGTCATCTCAGTCATGGAAGCATTGCAGAATCTACTACTACTACAACCAGGACAGGAGAAACAATTCAAAGGCATGCGGGGTGGCAAAGAAGGAGAGCTCAGGGCACGACTTTTAAGTTGCAAAATGCTCAAACTGGTTGCAAATCAAATATTGCAGAATGTCTCCAATATGTGAACTGGTTAAAATCCGGGGAGCGGCGTAAGCTCCCACTGTTAAGCCCAGCTTCTGCCAACCTAGCAGTTTGAAAACATGCAAATGTGAGTAGATCAATAGGTGCCACTTCTGCGGGAAGGTAAGGGTGCTCCATGCAGTTATGCTGGCCAAATGACCTTGGAGGTGTCTACAAACAACGCCAGCTCTTCGGCTTAGAAATTGAGATGAGCACCACTCCCCAGAGACGGATACGACTAGACTTAATGTCAGGGGAAACCTTTACTTTACCTATGTTTAATTATGTTGGAATATTATAATATATTTGTTTTTTAGTTATTATGCTGGGAGCTACTTGGGGTCTCAATACTGGGAGAAAGATGGCATACTAATAGTAGTTCCAATAGGAGTAGGAATATGGAAAACTGTTCTAGTAATAGTAGCAATAATTGAACATTTGGACCTCCATATTTGCAGGTTTGACTTTTGTGGATTTGATTTATTCATGGATTTAATTTTAAATGTCCTCTCTGGGAATCTCTACATCCTCAAGTCTGACTCAATGGGCAACTTCCTCCAATTGTGCTGAAAGTCGTAGATATTTCTATAGATATTTCTATAGATAATACCTCTTTTGGAATCTCTTGGCCCTCCAGTGCGATCCTATCCAGCAGAAGTTGACCAAAGTGTAGTGCCGGAGAACCTACAAATTCCTGGAGAGGTGTTCTTTCCAGGAGAGGTGTTCTTTCCAAAATAATAGCAATTACTTTATCTGCAGTTTTTCACTTTCACAACAGCCTTGTGCCTCTAACTCTAGAGAATGTGAAAGGCTGAGTGAAATAATAATAATAATAATAATAATAATAATAATAATAATAATAATAATAATAACAACATTGTTGATATGTTATGACCTTCAGCATCATCATTAAACTATAAAAGCAATAATGACAATGAAGGAGGAAGAGGATGGGAGAGCAGGTTTAGTTCCTCACCCTGTTTCAACATATCTAATGGTGTTCTTTTTTTTTTCCGTTATAGGCCTATTGATAGCCCAGATGAAGGATATGTTTGTTGGATGATCCTGTGCATGGTGGCAACATGTGCACTTCCACCGTTATGCCATATGAAAACAGCCGGCAACTTTTGGTTGCTGTGTACAGCGTCATCTTTGCTGTAGGGCTCCCAACCAACTTCTTAACAGCCATCCTCACCTTCATGCAGATCAGGAGGAAAAACATCACTGCCATCTACTTGCTTGGCCTGTCACTGTGTGAGCTGATGTACTTGAGCACACTCCCCCTCTGGATCATCTATGTGCAAAATGACCACAAGTGGACAATGGGGATGCAGTCATGCCTTGTGACTGGCTACATCTTCTTCTGCAATATCTACATCAGCATCCTTCTCTTGTGCTGTATTTCCGCCGATCGTTACGTGGCAGTCGTTCAGGCCCTGGAGAGCAGGGGAAAATGGTATCGGAGCCAAAGAACTGCTACTGTGATCACAGTTGCTCTCTTCGCTGTGGTTGCAGTGATCTATTGTCCTGTGTTTTTTGTGAAGAAGATCCAAAACTCGAATAGCACCACATGCTTTGAATCGCCCTTCAACACAGAGCTGGCCTATTACAATGCCTCCCGTTTCTTTGTAGGCTTTGTTATCCCTTTGCTGATCCTGATTTTCATGAACTACAAAATCTTTCAAAGCATTAAGACCAGCTGTAGCCTCAGCCCACTGCAGAAAGCTAAAGTGAAGCGCCTGGCTATTGCCGTCATTGTCATCTTTCTTATCTGCTTTGCTCCCTACCACTGCATTGTACTCATACGCGCCATATTCTATTTACTGTACCCAAACGAGAACTGTGGTTTTGAGAAAGAGATCTACACCACATCAGTGGTGTTCCTGTGCTTTTCCACTGCCAACGCTGTGGCCGACCCATTCATCTATGTGCTGGCCAGTGAAAATGCCAGAAAGGAAATATGCCGAACTTTCCAGTTCTGTGGGTTTCGGCTCTCCAACGTTTCGCAGACAGAGAGTAGCAAGGTTCAGGATTCTCCTTCTCAGATATCTCCACGAAAGGAGACACTTACAGTTGGAAATCCAGAGAACAGGTAGCACATCTTTCCTCTACAGAAGCTCCATAGCAGTAAGAAGAGGGAGATAATAGTATGATGTTTTTCCTTATGGGCTTGAGGTCGAGAAAAAGCCTGTCTGCTCTGGGAAAGAGTGTGAACCATTCCACTGCAAGTGGTGAATAGCCCTTTGAGTACATCATGGTTGTTGTTTACAATGGGATGATGTCATGACATTTGGATTTGCAGCTGGATCTGAACATTTTGCAGAACATGATGATATACTAGGAATGGGGCACACAGAAGGTTCAAACTGGTGGGTCAGACAACACAACTCATGGGTGGTAAATAATCTGATTATCATCCGCTGGATTGAGAGCAAGAGTGATGTATAGCTGTTTATGACAATTTTAAATGGAGAGAGGAATAATAAACACTATTGCCTTTCTGGGGTCATTTGTTGTATCATGCTGATTCTTGTCTAAACATTTATGTTGTCTTAAATAAATGACCCAATATTTTACTGATTTTATTACTGCTTCCAATACCAACAAGTCTGCTTTAATAGCAATCCTTTAGGCTGCTCTGTACACAATTTTCTTCCTCAGGGATGGCTTCAGGAAAATGTCATAGCCCCCAGGACCAGCCAACTTCTTGAACTCCCAAATATTATCATTTTATTTATTTGCTGTACTTATACCCCACCCTTCTCACCCCCAAAGGGGGACTCAGGGCAGTTTACAAACTATGGCAATAATTCAGTGACAGAGTCAGACAATAACAATATCAGTAAAACTATGCTGGTACGGCTGTACCAGGAGCTCCAACTTTGTTTGCTTTGTATTGAATGTTTGCTTACAGACCAGGGTTTCAGGGATTCTGCAGAGGGGTGGCTTCCTTTGGTTGCAGTCGTAGGGCAAGTCACCTGTCCATCATCGTTAAGTTTTGGTTCCGCCCCTTGTTCAGGGCAATTGGGAAGGGAAGGGAGCCATTTTTAGTTAGTCTCAGTAAGGAAAGCTAGTTTAGAAGTCATGTACAAGCTTCTCCTGTACAAAAGCTTCAATCCTTAAGACTTTCTGGGGGAGAACAGTCTTAAGAGCATCGAAAAATCTCCAAAGATTTCCAGGGAAACAGCCCTAAAGCTTTGAGGAATTTCGGAGGGTAAACAGTTTGGAAGACCAAAGAACTCAAGCTGGAGAATCTACTGGTAGGTCCACTCGGTGCTTGAGACGCAGTTCGACCCGGTAGCGGAGCCCACATCAGTAAGACTTAGATTACAGTCAGCCTGGGAGAAGTTAAAAAAGGGATTTTCCTTTAAAGTAAAGAAGCAGTTATTTAAGACAGTTGCCTGTCCTTCATGGGCAAGATTAGGAAGCCACCAGTTGCATAAAAGCCTGAAAACATTTGTTTAACTTTATTGAAGACAAGAAAAGTTTCTGTTTGATTGTTCATTAATAAAGGGCTTTGTTATACTTCTATAAGCCATCTAATGACCATTTGTGGTGGAAAATCTCTGATGCAGTAAATAACTTAAGAGATTTTCTTGTTGCTGTGACAAAGTCGAGAACAACTGTGCCAATTTTGAAGGTCATACAAGATACAGAATTATCTTTATCAAGGTTTTTGGGCACTCAAGAAAGCCACATTTTGACATTAAAATATTTTGAATAGTTCAATATGAGCATACGAAAGGAAGACATTTTTCAAGTAACAATACTTCAACCCACTGAGGACAGAATACTTTGAATCCAATATTTCATGGTGTTCATGCTAACATGGCACTGAAAATACGTTGCATAGGTTTATCTCTGTGAATGAGATTACTTATGGGGCCCGTTATGCAAAAATAGCCTTTCTCCCCAAACCTTTTCATTTCATGTTGTCTCATCATGTGTCTAAAGTATGATAGCTTCAATTATAGCACAGCATAAATATTAGCTGATGCTAGATATCACAAGTTGGCAATCAAGAACCAAGGCTCCAGATTCACCAATTCCTCAGGTGGTCAAGACGGAGGAACAACGCAGGTGGCAGAGAAAGCTGCATCCCATATATGATCCCCAGGTGTTTTCCATTCTTTCCGTTACCGAGTTGCTCCAGTGCCAGATGTCTCCATTACCGGCAAAGGTGTTGCTGGCAGCCTTTTGGAAAAAGTGTCTTCAATTACCTTGCTACTATTTCTGTCTGAACAGTAAATTTGTTTCCAGAGCAGCATGCCAAGATTGAGTTTCCCAACCCCAGCACCTATTTCTATTGCAATACATAGTTCTCACCACCAGAGAGTAGCAAAGCCTAGCAGTTTATTTCAATGACAATCCTGTGGAGGGAATAAAAGTTTTCTACTAGCTTATTTATTGCGAAACTGATTCAAAGTTAACTTCGATATATGGCATATGAACAAGAAACCTCCAAGTCACCCAACCATCAACTGCCCTGCTTAGATCTTGAGCCGCAGGTCCACTGCTTCCCTGACTAAGGATGCATCTTCACTGTCAAATTAATGCAGTTTGATGTCACTTTAGCTGCTATGGCTCCATGCTTTGGAATCATAGTAGTTGTAGTTTGGTGAAGCTCTAGAGCCTCACCAAACTACAACTACTATGATTCCACAGCACTGAGCTATGGCAATTAAGCGTAAAGTGGTGTAAATTGCATTAAGTCTACAGTGGGTCGGGCTTAGCACAGCGGGTTAAACTGCTAAGCTGCAGAAAATCTTGCCGATTGAAAGGTTGGCAGTTCAAGCCCAGGTCAGGGTGAGCTTCCACTGTAAGACCCAGCTTCTGCTCACCTTGCAGATCGAAAACAGCAATGCGAGTAGACAAATAGGTAACGCTTTAAGCAGGGAGGTAACAAAAGGCACCCATAAGGACATGCTGCCGACTCAATTGGCAAGACGTCTACACACAACAAAACTCGGCATGGAAGAAGGAGTGATCGCACCTACCTGTGGCCAGAGTTGAGCACAGCCTCCAGATGCCAGAAATGGAAAAAGATGGGGAAAGCCTTTACCTTTGTTTATGTATTGTCTGTCCTTGTTCATTGTATAACAGCACTGAATGTTTGCCGTATATGTGTTCTGTAAGCCACCCTGGGTCCCTTGGGGGAGATACAGAAGAATATAAATAAAAGTATATTATTATATATTAGATGTACCCCAAGTCTTTCAATCATCCCATTTTTCTCTTTTCCTTCTGCCTTCTACCTTACTAAACATTATTGACATCTCTCCTCGTGATACGGTCAAAGTTTGACAGTCTTGGTTTAGCCATCTTGGCTTTAAAGGAGAGTTTAGGTCCACAGAACTCTTCTCTGGAACTTCTCTGGAATGGATGTTCTTCCTATCAGCTTTCTTTACTGTCCAGCTTTCATAGCTAGATATAGAAATGAGGAATATGATGGCATGGACTATCCTGATTTCAGTATTCAATTATCTATCTTTACACTTCTGGATCTTAACTAATTCCTTCACAGATGTCCTTCCAAGTCTTAGCCTTCTCATTTATTGGCTTATCCACATTATTAACACATTGGCTTGACAAGCATGGCTGTATCTAATCTCATTATTACATGTAATTTAATTATTGGATGCAAAATTGATGGCTCTTTCTTATTCTGCAAAGCAACTTCATTTTCTCCCAGAATGGATATAGAATTCAGGCCACACCGCCATGTACTAAATGCTCTAAATGGAAAGAAAAAAAGCCTACTGGTGATGCTCTGAATTATGACAATGATCGGCCTTCACATTGACATAAAAATGGTCACACCATGTGTATTATTAGGTTACTGTAAGTTTTTTGAACTGTATGGCCTTGTTCCAGAAGCATTCTCCTCTGACATTTTGCCTGCATCTATGGCAGGCATCCTCAGAAGTTGTCAGATCTGCTCACCTAGCAGATTGAAACAGCATTGTGAGTAGGCAAATAGGTACTGCTTTAAGTGGGGAGGGAATAAAAGGTGCACATAAGGACATGCCAGCGACTCAATTAGGAGGATGTCTACAGCAACAAAGCTCCTCGGCATGGAAGATGAAGCGACAGCACCTCCCCGTGGCTGGAGTTGAACACAGCCTCCAGATCCCGGAAACCTCTGAGGATGCCTGCCATAGATACAGGGAAAACGTCATGAGAGAATGCTTCTGGAACATGGCCATACAGCCCAAAAAACTTACAGCAACCTAGTCATTCCAGCCATGAAAGTCTTCAACAATACATTTGTATTTTTAATGGATTATAAACAAAATTTCCAGGATATTCGTATGAAATATTAGTATGAAGCTAGAAGGTGGTGACGGCCGACAGGGAGCTCTGGCGTGGACTGGTCCATGAGGTCACGAAGAGTCGGAGACGACTGAACAAATGAACAACAACAAAGAAGGTGGTTGCTAAGATGAGTAGAGGGTGAGCCCTAGTATTACCGCGATTGGAAAGGATACTCTCTCATATTGTGTGAGTTTGTGCTACACATTTTCAGTTACTTGCCAAAATTCCCTTCTTGGATTAAGACAAGGGCAGTGGAGCACCAGGCTATCTGCAATGAGCGCTTGAAAGTAGACCACTCTCTTGCTGAGGTGAAGAATATTTTCTCTACTCCAAGAAAAGAGTTCTTCCTCTGCTGATGGAAACAATGAACTGCTGTTCTGAGAAAGAAGATTGACTCTTTTCTCTGGGGAGAGAATGGCAGCCAGGATGCAAACTCCTTTCTTGCTGGGCAAAAGCACAACTGGACTGCCATAATTTCTGTCCTCAGAGAAGGAGACAGATTCCTTTCTCTGGGGAGAGAAAGAAAACAAGGCTTCAGTTGTTTCTCTCCACAGAGGAAAGGGATTGACTCCTTCCCCTAAGGCAGTGGTTCTCAACCTGTGGTTCCCCAAGATGTTTTGGCCTTCAACTCCCAGAAATCCTAACAGCAGGTAAACTGGCTGGAATTTCTGGGAGTTGTAGGCCAAAACACCTGGAGACCCACAGGTTGAGAACCACTGCTCTAAGGAGAGAAGCACAATTAGGCCTTAGTTGCTTCTCTCTGCAGAGAAAGGAGATGGAGCTGTATCTTGGCAGAGAGAGGTACATGGCTCCACTCAGCTGGGTTTCCTGCCAGATCTGGCATCCAGGAGGGGAGGACTGTGCCCCAATATGTCTTTCTTTAAATTTGTACTGTATCAACTTTTAGTGCCATGCTGATTTGGGGTTTATTTATTTGCTGCATTTCTATACTGCTCGCTCTCTCTCACCCCAAGGGGGACTCAGAGTGGTGTATAATATGGCAAAATTCAATGCCGTCAATATACATACATATAAAAACAATACATAGCATTAACTAAAATGAATAACATATAAATATGAATTAACCATCAAAACACTTTACATAAAAACATCATCACATAAAACATAGAGCAGTGGTTCTTAACCTGGGGTCCCCAGATGTTTTTGGCCTTCAACTCCCAGAGATCCTAACAGCTGGTAAACTGGCTGGGATTTCTGGGAGTTGTAGGCCAAAAACATCTGGGGACCCCAGGTTGAGAAC